CCAACCTCCCTGCTAGTTTTAAAGCTGAGCATGATGTCATATGGTATGGAATATACCTTTGGTCAGTTGGGGTCAGCTGTCCCAGCTATGTCCCCTCCCAACTTCTTGTGCACCCCCAGCTTGCTTGCTGGTGGGGTGGGGTGAGGAGCAGAAAAGGCCTTGACTCTGTGTAAGCACTGCTCAGCAATAACAAAAACATCCCTGTGTTATCAACACTGTTTTCAGCACAAATCCAAAACATGGCCCCATAATAGCTACTATGAAGAAAATTTACTCTATCCCAGCCAAAACCAGAACATTCTATGAGAATAATTTGGGCAATAAACACATTTGGCTATCGGTGAATGGTTGTTGATATTATTAGCTGGTTCTGCTTTAAAGCAGTGTAATTTCCTTTGGATTAAATTAGCCAGGGACATGTTCCTTGGTAGCTGCTAAGTATGTTCTGTAGTTCTAGCAGTAGTGTTGAGACTCGGGCAGAATGAATTTATAGTTCTTTCTCAACATATTAAATGCACGCAAACTTTAATGTAAAAATGCATTTAAAATCTTAACTTTTCTCAGAAAAAAAAAAGTTGTCAATGTGATTGAGTGTGATTAAGAGAATGTGTTTATTGTTTTATTAATAAATACAGCAAATACAGAATAAACAAAAGCAGAAAACCAATGAAAAAGAAAGTATATCTCTTATTTCGACAGAAGAATTCAGGCAAATTGTGCATGAAATTAGGATGAATGAATGTTAACTGGAGTGTTTTTGCCCTCTAGGCTCTTCTAAAGTAAGGTTTGGAAATGGGTAGTTTTCAAATATCTCCTAAGTCACTACCCATAATTGTTATCTCAGTGCTTTTCTGGTGGATGAAAAAGATCTTCTGTAATAAAATTAGTTTTAACCCTCTTCTGTTTGAATACTTCACCTATTTGTATCAAAGCACTTTATTCTCACTGATTTTTTTTTTTTTTTCTGTACTGAATTTTACTGGCTTCTCTGAAGTTACTGAATGAATCTTCAGTCTGATGTGTTCATTGCTTTTGATTTTTTTTCCCCTTTGCTTCCTAGAGTTAATCCAACAATAATTTCCTATGAAAATAAAAGGCAGGAGCAAGTAGCTGAAACAAATAATTTCCTCTTCTGTATTCTATCCCTCTTTACACTTACCCTTTTGTTTGAGGGTTGAAGTGGTACATTGTTTTTTTTAACAGAACTCACGCTTACCTTATGTGCAAAATTAGGAGAAAAGTAACTTGCAGGTTGGAGATGAAGCTCCCATGCAGATTTTGGGTAGTAGTTGAACTCTGCAAGCATATGTCATACTTAATCAGGTATTAGGTCCTTTGGTTCTGCAGAACAGCAGGCTGACTCCTGGTTTGGCTCATGAGGGTACATTCTGACTTAGCTGAAACTATCTCAAACCAAGCCAGCTAAGTGTATTTTTACTAAGTATATTTCAACCTTTTATCTGTTTCAGTAGCAGAGTGATTCCCATGTTAGCAATTTTCAGCATTTATATAATGTCATTTTTACTGTACAGGCACCAATTAATGCCCTAAACATTCAAAGTACCATGCAATAAATTGGGACTGATGTAAATCTTAAATATCCCTCTCTTCCCTCTTACTCCTTGCCACTCATTTTACATAAACCACAGGTGTAGAAATGCTTTCAGAGAAACAATAGAAAATAAAAAACCCCGAGCAGTTGTAGTCTATGTCTCTTGCGTGATTTTGTGGAATTCACCGGCTGTCTGTGGAGAGCAGTGAATGTGGCTGCAGAGGTGGGCTTCTGGGGCAGAGGATATTTCTTACAAAGTACTTTATTTTGGGAACAAGAAACAACTTGCATAGCATTATATTTGAAGAGTGCAGCTGTTAGGAGACCTGACAGTAATCTTGGAAAAGTACTAAATATGTGTTTTGGGTCTACTACAATTAAAAACAGAGGTGGAAAGAAAATATTATCATCATCATCATCAGATCAGATTCCTTCTAGTTGTGTGGAAGCCACCATATTTTTCACACGCTTCGTGCTAAACAAATAGTTTGTCGCTTTTTAGTTGCGAAGTATGTTTTCTATTGCGTGATAAGCACAGCTTAAAATATCGGAGTAATTTAGAAACATGTAAAAGGAGATTTCCTTTGAAACATACATAGACAAAAGAAATACGTGCAATATTTAGGTTATTTTATACTATTTGTCAAATTATCCATATAATTGCATTTTTTTCTAGGGGGGGAGAAGAAGCGCAAGGACTAGAGGAAAACTAACATCCAAAAACCAATCAATTTTTCTGTGCTTTCCATCCAGCTACTCATACAGAGCAGGTGTTTTTTGTTTCAGATTTTTTGTAATTACTGGTTGCATAGTTAATTTTTTTATTGCTGCTGTCTAATAAAAATCCAGATGTAGCTTTTGCAGGATGTGCTTTGTATTGATACAAAATAGTGGCATAATAATATTTAATGGTGTTAAACTTTCAGGTGACTGTGGCTTGAGTTTACCTCTTGGAGAAGAATATGAACGAAAAAAACATAAACTCAAAGAGGAACTTCGACAAGATTATAGGCGATATCTTTCTCAGGTAAAGTTTCTCATCTGGTTGCCTGAGTTTAGTGAGTCTTTTAAAATGATTCTCTCATTTTGATTGAATGAAAATTAATAAAATCTTTGTAAAAAGGCATTAATGAGGACTAATGGCTGATTTCTAAGACTTGAGTGACAGTAATTTCAAAATGTCACCGCTAGAAAGGATTATGTATTTTAGGCTTCTTCAGATCTCATTGCCAATGAGACTACATATTACTTAGTACATTTTATTCTGAATACTTTTATTTATTTGTCTACTTCTTTCTTAGTTCTTTTTAAGAATTTAAAATATCACCTGTTACTTCCTTAAGTACTTATGTATTCTATGGTCTGTAATTCAGGTAAGAGTATTCCTATAATTAGTGTAACTCCATTTGACAGCTTCTCTTCAATTTGAGAAATAAAAAAAACTTAGATGTTCTGCTTAGCATGATCTACCAAATGTCATAGTAAATTAAAATTGAAATGGTATGTATGAAATGTCACAATCTCACAAATATTCTGTATCCCTTCTTAGTCAAACAGAAAAAAAATCAGGAACCAAATAATTTCTGTTGTCTGAGAATACTAATTATCAGTGTCTTTAGTTCTTAAAATGAAAGAATGGATTGGCTTTAAGAAAGTAAGTCTTTTTTGTTAAGTCAAATATTTCTGAATGAAAGATTCTTTTTGAATAGTATCTTTTCCCTGACTTTTAGGGTATTTCACAGGCAAAAAGAAAGGTAGGGTGCCTGCACCGTTATTTTTTTTTTTCTTTGAATTAGTTGCTTTTTGTTGTTTGAAAGCTTTGTGCTCTTTGAATTAAAAAAAAATCATTCCATTTTTGTGCTTTGTGTGTTTGTGCATGCTGTAGTGATTAGTTGTGATTAACAGCATCATTTGCTTTGTGCAAAATGATTGCTTATATTTATTATTTTCCATTAATAAGATTTTAAAACACTTGTTGATTTCTTTTTTCCTTTGCAATTGCTATTGTTGCTGTCTAATGCTGACTTTACAAAAGTTTTACTTTTAATAGATATTTGCTTCAAGGCTTATCAGTTATGTAGATGTTAGGAGTTCAGATTTTTTTATTTTCTTGATATACATACTGTATGAAGCCGGAATAAAATTGCAAACTCTGAAATATTATGTCATCAGAACCAGAGTCAGGGCTTTTTTCTTCCCTCTCACTGTGAAATCTTGTCAGTGGTGCTTAAGAAAGCAGTAGAGCCAGTTATTCAGCATCTAGTGGCCAGAATGCAAGAATACAAGCATTTTGAGGAAAAAATAGAGACATTTTTGCAAACTGTTGTTTGTACAGTAATTCCTAATTATTTATATCATTATATGGTCACATGTATATAATTTTCAAATTTAACATTGTTCATCCAGGTTGTTCAAATTAAGCAACTTCAATGAAGGATCGGGAGGTAACGTGGTAGAAACACAACCTTCCATTTTTTCTGGGGATTTGAATAACATGCATATGATACAAATTCACTATATTAGCATGCACTAGAATTCCTCAATAACAATAGCCACAGCAGAATTAACTAGCTGCTTAACCTCTAACCAAAATTATGCTTATGTAATTGTTGCTTCTTGTTTAATCTTAAACTTTAGATTATTTTCAAAGTTAGAATATTGTGTTAAAACTTAATATTCCATAATTCTTACCAAAGTGCCCGAGTAATATAATTTTTACATTAACTTGTAGTGGTTTATTCTCAATTGAACTTCAGTTTTGCAAATTTAGGCTTACAAGGCTTTTTTTCTTTTTTAATGTAGTACACATTAGCTATATTAAGTTTGTAAGGCCTGAGAAATAGACAGGATAACAATTTCTAATTGTTTTTCCCCATGTAAAGAGATAGTGCAACTTTTAGCAGCTCTTATAGTGATAATATTTTGGTTAATAACTTGTTTAGTGTCACTTATGTAGAAAATGCCGTTTCCATCTCAGCTTCTGGTTTTTGGAAGATACCTTTTTAAGATCAGAGGTAATCTCTACAGATGTGGTCAAAGTGTGAAAAAAAAATTACTTAATAATGAAAATTACAGTTTATTTACTTTTTCTAGTAAAAAAACCCTTAGTTCTCCGTATTAGTCTAGTTGTCTCAGTGCTTGAATATTTACATGGTTATTAAATCCCTTAAATCTTTTAATGTGTAGTTGTGAAATATAATTCATAATGATGTGGTTTTGTCCTGAAACAGGTAGAACTCTTACCTGTTGACATGCCTCTAAGCTTTTAAGCTATGTTACAACATAGATAATGGAAGGAAACAATGCTAGTGAAATACCGTATCTAACCTATTCCCCTCATCAGCCCATGTCACACAAATAGATGATCTTTTTATTAAAGATAATCAGATTTATAAAACATAGATGATTGACTGAGAATGGCCTGGGGATGCTTTCAGTAAATGAGTGATGTATGAAGAAGCCACTAGACCTGGAAGCTAAGGACCTGCTCCAGCATTGCTGTTTGATTTGAAAGGCTGATACTTTGACTTGCTGCGCAGCCCAATTTCCAAGCTGTGGCCCAGCAAGCTATATGGAGCAACAACATAGTGTTTTCAGCGGAAAGTTCTGTTCTGAAAGTGACTCATGGTCCATAAGGAACTACAAGATTTGGTGATGGGTCATTGTCCTGCAAAGTTTGGGAACTGCTGTTGTAGAAAGCAGAGAGAGATGCAGAGTGGTGACTGTGTGGGTGTTAGCATGGATTAGATCTGTTAAAATAAGAGGCAGACACACGTTTTCTGCAGTTAGAAAAAGCAGTTTTTCATCTTAAGTATGGTAGTGTCTTGGGAAATTCCTCTTATGCTTGTACAGATGCTTGTGCTTATGCTATTTGATTACATGAGAATTGAGTAAATTTTTTTAATGAAAGTACTTTTTTTAATATACAGAGACCAACTTATGTAATCGTTGAAATAGTGTAACAGGGAAGATGTGACAAACACTTTCAAACTCAAGCTTAAAGCTTGACAAAGCCATTTACTTTTTGCATTCCATGCCTTTACTTCATTCGTGTGTTCGGAGAACATCCTACATTTTCAAAATGTGGAGATTGTCGTCGGTCTTTATTTCATTAAATTGATAAGATTTATTTCAGAAAGTATAATTCCTAGCAACTATTTAGCAATGGAGACTTGGTATTTTAAAATATATTTAACTTTTTTTTTAATATAGAAAAATTATCTGACTACTGGTGAAGTAGATCCATATACTCAGGGATTATCTCTTCCTATTGATGAGCGAAGATCTGCCAAGGTAAATATCTGGAGGAAGTGAAGTGAATGGTGTATGACTTGGAAATGAACCTGGATGTTTAAACTGTTGTGGAAAAATTATTTCCACTTAAGTCTTTTTGTTTGGTTGGATTTTTTTTTACACTTTTTACAAATGAACATATTTGGAGGTGGTTGTTAGAATAATTTTCAGAAAAGTAAAGTGTTGAAATTTTGTTGTTTTTAAATTTTTAATCCTATGTTACCCGTACTCTTAATTTTTAGATAATTAGATGTGTAATTATATACTGATACTAGTTTGATGTTTGCTACTTCTAATTCGCACCTGTAGGCCCCTGGTGAGTTCAGAAGCTCTAGCAGTTGTGCTTGGGTTTCGTTCAGCAATAGAACAAAAACCAACAAAGAACGCTGTTTTTCTTACAATAATATATTTGCTTTTCTAATTTATTATTCTCCATACTGCAGCCTGGGGATAATTTTAAAAATAGTTGCTTGTAGTTGTTTGTACAGTGATATTCTTACCAGTTCCTATTGGAACTAAAGGGAGTGTGCTTTCTGCTGTAAACAATTTGTTTTGATGTCTTTGTGTATGCTTAACCTACCTGCTTATCCTCATGTGATTTTTCCTTTTGAACAGATAAATCCAGGAATCTAAATAAAAGCTGATACGGTATTTCTTATATTGCCTGCTGTTAATACTGGAATTTCCCAGATTTCCAGTCTTTCTGTGAGAGTACAGATACTAACGTGTTTTGCGAAAGGAGTACACATTCTCTCTCTGGGTTTAGCCCCTTTGATCTCCCTGAGGTTCCTTACCAGTTTATGGTCTTCTTTCATATGTTGGAGAAGGATACCAGCCATAATAGTCTCTCTGCTATTAGAGGTTCATGGAGGTTAGAATATGAAGATGCAACATGCATATGTGGATTTTCTTAACCTCTGATCCATTTCTCTGATGCATAGTATGATTCTGTGAAAGCCTAAATCAGTCTTACAGGGGTTGCCTCTCCTCCTGCCCTCACCCTGTTGGCCTTATATTCCCAGTTACTTTCTTGTGTTTGCATGTAATTGATACAGGAAGTTGAATCAGCAGAAACCTTGAAATTTAGCAAATATTTTTGCTGACTGAACAAACATCAACAGTTGGTTGTTGATCAGTCAAATCCCAGCAGAGATGCAAGGCAGAAATAGAAACTGTGTTGCTGGAGGAGGACTGGGCGGTTGGACTCTTGAGGGTTTTGTTTGTTTTTTGGTTTTTTCACCTGTGTTGCCTTGGAGCTGCATTGTTGCTCTGTGTTTGGCACTACACTGTCACTGTAATCTGGAACAAGACTTCTGCTGTGGAACGTGTTACTCTTGCCCTTGCCGTGCTTACTTACGCTTTCTATCCGTGTTGTTGCTGGCAATAATGTTTGGCCATACAGGGAGAGAGGTGAGATCTCAAATACGTGAAAATGGCTGTTACAAAAAAGCCCCGAACACCAAACGACACTAGTGTTAAAAAACAGGGAGGCAGCAAGAATGAAATGCCTGGGAAGGGGAAGGGACTCCTTCTCAGTGGCAGCATGCATTTGTGCTGAGTTTGTTAGCTTCAAGTTCTGGTGAACTTTGTGTTAACCCTTGTGAGTATGTGTGCTGAAACAGTGAAAGATAAGTATCTTTGATTAATTCTGTGGAAATTAAAGACATATCTGAACTGGGAACATGTCTGATTATTGATGATTTTGTATCACAGCACCTCAACATTCGTTGAGATTTTCTGTATGACTGCATTGTATCCTTTTCACCCATGTATTTATTGCTATTGCAGAATCTAAAAGCTGCCAGAAGATGTCACAGTGTGCCCTGCTAAACGATTAGCCTCTGGGCAAATAGTGATTAGAGGTTAACATTTGCATTTTGGTTTCCTCTATTAGACAAAATGTGCAGTCACAGCAAATACTGAATTTTCTGCTGAGTGTTTTGCCACCTGTAAAGACAATGCTAGTTTCTCAGCTTTGGAAAATACCCAGCTTTCACAGCTGTCTGCAGTTTTTATATTGTCACTGTCAGAAAACCTATAGACACATATTTTGGGAAAAAACTTGATAGTTTTGGGGAGCATTGGTCTCATTTTGCAAAACTGTTACTAAGCTAGTATTTCCATGGTAATAGAGGTATAAATTATTTTTGTTTGAAATTTGTTAATGGGAAAGTAAATTATATGTAATGTTCAGATTTTTTGAATACCTTTTGCTTTTTTATTGGAAAATACTGCAGTGGAGAGAAGAGCATGATTCATAATATTGTAATATAATTATCTTTTTTTCATTTACATAATGGTTGGAATGAGGTAGTATGAGATGCCCCATGCTCTAAACATAAGGTACTATCAGGAAATAATGCAAATTAGAGTTTGCTTTACCTAGAAACTTTTTGATTTCATATTATATTATTAGGATATTGATGTACGATTCCTGCATGTTTTTAGACCTGAGCAAGCTGGTTATAAATGTTGTCACCTTGCAAAAGTAGCTAGGATGAGGATCATGTTTTTCTTATTTTTCCTTGCATTCTTTGTGCTTTTGACTCTTTTTGCAGCCATCTTAACTGCTCATTTGAATGTGACAGTTCAAGTTATATCCTAAGCTATAACTGACACATCTTGCCTATACATATCTTTGTTATCCTGTTTTGAGTGGAGCAAATCACAAATAACCTTAACACAAGAAAAAAAATGTTTAAAAATAATCCATAAATACATTCAGATTGAAAATTAGAAGGTGATTTCTGGTTGTCAAAGGAGTGAGGCTTTAGAACAGTTTTGGAACAAATTCAGCAGAAGGAAACCTAACTGGTTTTGAGATGGAACTTGATATATGGTAGTTTTACTGGGGACTAGACTTCATGCCCAAGAAGCTGACTTCTACTTACTGATTTCGGATTAAGAGAAAGTACTATGTTCAAGAACGAACAAAAACCTCAAGGCAATTCAAGCCTTATTTGTACATCACAAAGAAGGGGGAGGGCAAACACACAGCTTGCATGTATTCGTTTAATACTGCAGTTCTGTGAAATTAAAAGCTACTAAAAAATGCAGAATTATGATGCCCTTTTCAATGCCTGTTTTAGGAGAAACTACGGCTTGAAAGAAACAAGGAGTACAATCAATATCTCAGGGATAAAGAAGAATGGAATGAAAGGCTAAGGAAATTAGGGAAGAAAAACACAGAGGTAATACAGTTTTACTGAAGCTGTTACAAAGAAGGACATAAATGATCTTGTCAATTGTTTTATCATTGGCTAAGACTTACAAAGACAAAATAAGGAAAGAATATCATTCAGTTAGGCCACAGTTTTATTACTATATCTAGCAAGTCCTGGTTACGAGTCATACAGTACATTTTTTGATTCATACTTCAGTCATGTCTGTCTGGTAGAAGGGTGCTTTCATTCTTCTGTGTGTCTGAAGCAAGTCCCTGGATTGTTCTGGGTGATAAAAGTGGTGACCAAAAAAGCTGTCTCTTTGGACAAAAATGTTGAGCGCCACACAGCGTTCCTTAGCTGTTTTTGTAGCTGCTTTTTCCTCAGTCTGTGTCCAGTTGATGAGAAAGCAAGGCAAATGCAGGCAGCTGTCCAGTATATGGTGCTGTGCATTTGTGAATCCAAAAAAAAAAAGTCTTTACTACTGAAAGTGAGCTAGACACCTGCATAATTGAACTCAGATTCTGAGCTGAGGCCTTTGATTTGTATGGCAGTAGGCAGCTAAGCACCACAGAGCCGCTTGCTCACTCCGTGCACTCCCAGTGGGATGGGGGAGAGAATTAGAAGGGTAAAAGTGAGAAAACACATAGGTTGAGTTAAAGACAGTTTAATAGGTAAAGCAAAAGCTGCACACACAAGCAAAGTAAAATCAGGAATTAATTTGTTTTTTTCCCATTGGCAGGCAGGTGTTCAGCCATCTCCAGGAAAGCAGGGCTCCATCATGTGTAACGATTGCTTGGGAAGACAAACACCATCACTTTGAATGTCCACCCCCGCCCCCTTCTTCCTCCTTCCCCCAGCTTTACATGCTGAGCACAGTGTCATATGGTATGGGATATCCCTTTGGTCAGCTGGGGTCAGCTGTCCCAGCTGTGTCCCCTCCCAACTTCTTGTGCACCCCCAGCCTTCTTGCTGATGAGGTAGTGTGAGAGGCAGCAAAGGCATTGTCGCTGTGTTAGCACTGTTCAGCAGTAACTAAAATATCCCTGTGTTATCAACAGTGCTTTCCTCACAGATCTAAAAAAATCTAGCCCCATACAACCTACTATGAAGAAGTTTAGCTCTATCCCAGTGTTGTGGTTTAAGCAGGCAGGTAGCTAAAACAACTGCACAGCCCCAAACCAGTAAAACAGTCAACAGGGGGTTTTTAGGTCTAATTAGCATTGTTGTGAGACCCATTATTTTGGTAATCTGGAAGCAACATATTGACCTGAGAAAGACTCTTCACTGCTTGTTAATTGTAAAATCTTGTGCAGAATGGGTACATTTTCTTTTTTAAAATGTTGTTGCCTTAGTTTAGTGATTGATTGCAATAATTTGGAACTCTCATCTAACACAGGTTTGATTTTTGGAAGGCCTTCCACTGTTTTTTAGTATGGGAATTCTTAATTGTACAGTAGTTTGAGAACTAGGTCATTTGTACTCACAACAGCTGAAAGTTTATTGTCTTTCCTACAGCAGTCGGCAAGTGCAAATACCCATGTATTTATAAGTTCTATCTCGAAGAATGTTTCTTGTCTGTCTCCAGAAAGATTGTTTTTGTATGAGAAACGTCTTTTCCTCCAAGTGCATTGGAGTGTCATATAGTTGAAAACTGTTTGATCTGTGAAGACAGCTATAAGGCAGTATTCAGGCATCCTTTAGATGTCGGAATTCAATAACTGATTCATATTGTCTGCTTTAAGGGTTGGAGTGCTACACAATAGTGACCCCTAGGAAATATGTGGCAAAAATGCAGTTTGTGTTTGTGTAACTGAGTCTATAAGTCTCTAAAGGTTTTTGTACATGTTTGGGCATTTATGTTTCCTCAGATGGCTTATCTAATCAAATCTATTTAGGGAGCCAGGTTTTTTTAATTCTGCTTTGTTTGTCATCCCTTTGGACCTTTAAGTTATATTTTTATTATTCTTGTGTTGAAACAATTTTGCTGTCATGAAACAACAAACAGGAAGAAAAAAGCCTGGTGAGGATTTGTTGAGGTTCTTCCATCTCTGAGGGATATTTGACTTGGAGTGAGAGTCAAATGAATGGGTCTCATGATTAACATATGCGGCCTCAAATGTTTGATCCAACAGTTTACATAATCATAGGATAAACTTCTTCAGTTGCAAGGAACCTCTGGAAGTCATATAGTACTGCTTGTTAGATCAGGTTGGTTAGGCCTTATCCGGTTGAGTTTGAAAGGATGCAGAATCCACAGTTCCCCTGAGCAAAACCTGTTCCACTGCTTTAACCACTTGATCTGAACTTCTTTGTCTCTGTATCCTGTTGGAGTTTCTTTTGCTGCAACTTGTGACCGTTGGTTCTTTGAAAACCATGTTTCTGGCATCTCTGTAATCACCTGTTAGATAGAGACTGCAATTACTCGTTCCTCCTGCACCCATACATACTCTCCTTATCTTTCTTTCTCCAGGCATTCTGTCAGCTTCTCCTTTATGAGCTCAAGTGCCTTAACCATCTCAGTAGCCATCCTCTCCACTTTCTCCAGTTTGTTAGTATCCATGGGGAGGGTGGGAAACAGGGCACACTACGCCAGAACCTGAATATGGAATAAGCACTTAGCAGAGGAGAAGGATCACTTAGAATAGTTTGGGTTGGAAGGGACCTTTAAGGGTCATCTAGTCCAACCCACCTGCAATGAGCAGCGACATCTTCAACTAGAGCAGATTGCTCATTGCCCTGTCCAACCTGACCTTGAACGTTTCCAGGGATGGGGCATCTACCACCTCTCGGGGCAACCTGTGCCAGTGGTTCACCACCCTCATTGTCAAAAATTTCTTCCTTCTGTCTAGTCTAAATCTACGCTGTTGTCCTGTTGCAATAGGCCCTGATAAAGTCTGTCACCATCTTTCTTATAAGCCCCTTTGAAGTACTGGAAGGCTGCAGTAAGGTCTCCCTGGAGCCTTCTCTTCTCCAAGCTGAACAAACCCAACTCTCTCAGCCTGTCCTCATAGGAGAGGTGTTCCATGATCCCCCTGATCACTTTTGTGGCCCTCCTCTGGACCTGCTCCAACAGGGCCATGTCTTTCGCGTGCTAAAAGCTCCAGAGGTGGACGCAGGACTCCAGGGGGGTCCCACCAGAGCGGAGTAGAGGGGCAGAATCCCCTCCCTCAACCTGCTGGCCATGCTTCTTTGGATGCAGCCCAGGATGCAGTTTACCTTCTGGGCTGTGAGCACACATTGCCAGCTCCTGTCCAGCTTTTCATCCACCAGTACCCCCAAGTCCTTCTCGACAGGGCTGCTCTCCATCCCTTCATGCCCCAGCCTGTATTGATGCTGGGGGTTGCCCCGACCCATGTGCAGGACCCTGCACTTGGCCTTGTTGAACCTCATGAAGTTCACACAGGCCCATTCCTCGAGCTTGTCCAGGTCCCTCTGGATGGCATCCTGTCCCTCAGGCATGTCAACCACACCACTCAGCTTGATGTTGTCTGCAGACTCGCTGAGGGTGCACTCGATCCCACTGTCTGTATCATTGATGAAGATATTAAACAGTACTGGTCCCAATACAGACTCCTGAGGGATACCACTCGTCACCGATCTCCCAATACAGACTCCTGAGGGATACCACTCGTCACCGATCTCCATCTGGACATTGAGCCATTGACCACTACCCTCTGGATGCAACCATCCAACCAATTCCTCATCCACCAAACAATCCACCCATCAAATTCATACCTTTCCAATTTAGAGAGAGGATATTGTGGGGGACCGTGTCAAAGGGCTTATAGAAGTCCAGATAGACAATATCTTTATCTCCTCCCTTGTCCACTGATGTGGTCACTCCATCATAGAAGGCCACTAGGTTGGTCAGGCAGGACTTGCCCTTGGTGAAGCTATGCTGGCTGTCTCAAATCACTTCCTTGTCATCCATGTGCTTCAGCATAGCTTCTAGGAGGATCTATTCCATGATCTTCCGAGGCACAGAGATGAGGCTGACAAGTCGGTAATTCACAGGGTCCTCCTTGCTACCTTTTTTTAAAAATGGGTGCAATGTTTCCGTTTTTCCAGTCACCAGCTTCCCTTGCCCTGCTGATGTCAATCTTGCTAATGCAACCCAGGGTGTGGTTGGCTGTCATCACTGTAAGGGGGCTATGCTGACTGATGTTCAGCTAGTTGCCCACCACTAACCTAGGCCTTTTTCTGCAAAACTGCTTTCTAGACGGTCAGTGCCCAGCCTGTACTGGTGCATGGCATTATTCTGTCTCAGATGCAGAATTTTGCATTTGCATTTGTTGATCTTCATGAACTTTTTGTCAGCATATTTTTCCAGTTTTTTCAAGACCCTTCTGAGTGGCAATCATACCCTCTAGTATATTGATCCCTTTTCCCAGTTTGGTGACATTTGCATCTTTCATTTATTTTTCATTACATTTTGTAAAGTATGAATTACTGTTATCTTTATTCCACAGATGAAAGATTAGCGCACAGAAATACTACTGTGTATTGAACACTGGTCCAGTGTGTTATGGGGTTGTATTTTAACCGCTACACTATTGTTTCTCATAGTGACAACTCCTGGGGAGCAAAGAAATAAATTAAGAAATGGTCAAGTTAAAAGGTTGTGCTCATAGGAAAGAAGTATTATCAACTTGCCTGAATCTATATAGAATAAAGATATCTAGTCCTTTGATGAGCTATAAAGTTCATCAAGTTTTGATTTTTTGCATCTCTGAGTCTGAAGATCAAGTTGGAGTTTGTAAAAGGCCCATCCAGGGTTAGTAGCCATTCTTCTGAAAAACATTATAAGAGGAAAAGTGCTATTTTTTTCTCAAGAAAAAAAACCCCAAACCCCTAGCTTTTAAGCCCTCCTTGAAGTATTTTTCTTGGTGATGGAGGACCTTTTCTTCAGTACCTGTCTAGGGATTGTTTGAAGAAATACAAAACCAAGTTTTTGCTCAATGTGATTTGTTTATATTCAGATCTTTTAATATTTTTTTCCATTAAACAGAATGAGATGGGCAGGAATAAAAAAACTATTGCTGTTACCACGCTCCAGCCAGAACGACAAACAGAAGTACAGCCCTGTAATACAGGTGCAGAACATCCCAGGAAGGATGCCTTTACTTCTACAGAAGGTTATGAGGAGCTGCTAAATAAGAGATGTCTGGAGGAAGACAGGTATCATAGGTTAGATGATGAGGTTGAATTAAGAAGTCGACTATTAAATAAAAGACTTGATGAAGATTTGGATGTTCCCAATCGAAGACATCGTGGATTTGCTAGCCAATCTGTAATTCCTATTAGGAAGCATCACAGACTTGATGAGGATTGTGATTTTGGTAGAAGATACTACAGAACGGACCATGATCCTGAGATAAGTGAAGAAATGGACGTTAGATTTAGATGTGAAAGCTCTTATGACAGAAAAACTCCGGGCGTTTTTTATGCTGAAAGGTATTCTTAATTCTGTTTTCTCCTTTATTTCTGTAGTGCTTGTTGACAGCCATGATTTGCTCTCATTGAAAATTAAACCAGATTCACATGTGAAAGCAGGATTTTTGAACTTATTTTAAAAAGGAACTTTGCAGTAATTTTTAGAAAAAAATATTTAAAAATTGGACCAGTACCTAAGACTATACATCATACATTAGGGAACATTCTATATGTTATTGCAAGCCGAGGATACTAGAGAAATTACTTCAGAAAAAGATTTTTATAAAAAGTAGTTTGCCAGAAAACATGTTGGTATTTGAGAGCAAACCCCTGTGTTGAGAACCCAAGTTTACATGTATTTTCTTAGTCCGTAATAGTTATAGCAAGTCAATCTTCAGTTCAGATTCCAAAATCGGTTTGAGCTTCAATTTTTGATATATGCCGCTGTGTGTTACAGATGTAAAAATACACTTTTAAAAAATTCTCTTTTTTACTGCATGTCTTGCTAAATGGCAGACTTTAAATATATGCATAGTTGAACCAAATCCTGATGGTGTTAATAGGTGCCAATCTCTATAACGTCTATACAAATTGGGTAAACATTTAAGAAAACACAAACCAAACAAAAGAGGGTGTTTATATAAGTAACTCAGGAGGAAAACTGATATTATGTACCTGTTCATTATTAAATAGTCTTTACTGTGTTAACTGATAAATCAGTTTGGTTACTTTGACATAAATTGTTAATCTTTCTCTTCTTGCTCACTCATTTAAAAGAAAAAAAAAAAAAGCATAACTTTCCCAATCTTTCAGGGTTTAGCAGTCTGGCCACCTTTGGTTATTCCATTGCAAGAAACAGTTGCTTTCAAAAACAGATGGGTTGTGGTGTGAAATGGTACCAAACTTGAAACACATGTGTTTTATACAGCTAAATTCAAATGAAATAAAGCAGTAAAGTTTCTTGTAAATAAATTTTAAAAAGGTGCTTGAAGAGTGTTCATTTGTTCACTTTATAGAACTTGGGAACATGAGTATGTGCTTTTTTTTTTTTTTTTTTCTCTCCTTTGTGTTAGGCTTGTTGCTGTTGCCAGAATTATTTTACTGCAGTTGCTTCAGTGAAGAAAACACCACTGTCTGTCCCTTGTCAGGCAAAATAACCACTTTTTTTTTCCTAGAATTAATACTTCCAGAAAAAAACAGAAGGCAAATTGTACCACTCTCAACAGTATTAAATATTACAGTCATGTTTTGTTGTTAATTGCCAGTGGACTGGTTAAATGATCTTTTGAGTCATTGTTTACAGGGATAATTTTCTGGGTAGTACTGCAAATTAATAACTGGAGAAAACAAACACTAAAATGCTCTTCTACTGCAAAAGAGTTTTCTAAATTGAATGAAGTTGTGCTTCTTTTCCAGTTTCAAATGCCATTAGAGTTAAAATAACTCCTCTACAAAACTAGCTTTTGATACTCTTTCTCAGCCTTAAAAAAAATTGTAAAGGAATTAGGTAAGTATGGAGAAAATGAAATGTCTGGAAGCATTTGGGAGATGCAGACTAAATAAATGGATTACTTCAGAGTTTCAGATTTTATGTTAAGATGTGCTTCTAAAAGCATGTATTTATTCATGCAGTGTTTCTGAAAAAGACTAGCAAATGGAAGCAGTGGTTAAATAGATAGCAGGAACAAGATTGCCCTTTTTCTGCTGAATGAGATTCAGAGAAGAGAATGTAAAATACAAAAATTTTTCCCTCCTGTAGTGTAATATTGGTAGAAATGAGCAAAGGAGGTTTTAGGGTAGGGTCTTGCCCTACAGCTTTTCAGAAAGAAAAATATTAGAAGCCTGACTTGGTATCTAACAACGATAATGAAAATGTCCATATTTTTGAGACTAACAGCAATGTTAATCCTCTATGTTAACACCCACAAGGATGAATGTCCTCTTTTTACTAGGTAGCTTTTTGCCACTGTCTAATGCAAATGGACAGAGTGTCGAATATTTAAATAAAAATGACCATTTGATAAAGTTTGAGGGTTTACTTTGTTTCTTAAAGAATATATACAGAATACTATATGTAAAATATCAGCAAGGATGATGCTTGAACCAACAGTGGACGGTATCATGTTGAATAGAAGTATACTTGTTCTTAGTCATTCCAGAAAACACTGATGGTGCTGATATAAATGTCTGGGGCCAATATATCACTAGGCAATTCATTGTTTGTTTGGAGAGGCCTCTGAAACAGTTCTAGTTCCAGCTTTCTTTTAAAAGAAAGTACAGAAGATAGTCTTATCTTTGTTATTGGCAAACTTGGTTCATCTTCTTAAAAGAAGTTGCTGGACCGTCACCTGAACTGCCTGAACTGAAATTTGTACATAAAATTAAGATTTGGGTTTTTTGTTTTTTTTATTTTCTACTTTGCTGAATTGTTGTTGAAAATCACTTTTTTTTTTTTATTATACATGCTTTGTAATCTAGTACTTTTTTCTCCTTTGCAAGGAGCTCCACTTAACCTTTTATGAACTATATTCAGCCTCCCTTCAAGAAGGAGAAACACATTTATTAGTTACTGGCAGCTCAGCTTCTGAAGAGTTAGCATTTTTTTGCTACGTTTCAGGCAAATTCAACTTTTCCAGAACATATTTGATCCATGACAGAAACAAAATTCATAAGGAGGAATATTTTTATTTGTTTTATTAGAGTTTTTCTGTTTTTAAATGGGCTTTTTTAGTTTGGAGAGGCAGGTGTTTGTAATGGGACTTTTCAGAAAGGTTTCTGTTTTGACAGAGGCACAAGGACTGTGGTGTATTTCAGCAAATAGAAATGGTGACAGGAGAGTGAGAGGAAGTGCAAAATGTTTTGGTCCTTATGAGTGGACTGCTTTAGTCCATCCCCAGCAACCAAGTCTGTCCTATAAACAGGATACAACAGCTTCTTGCTTGAATTGGGCCAACATGCCTGGGCCTGCCATACTAAGCTTACTGCTTTTTACAAAAAAGGTTGTCTCTTGAATTCCAAGGTTTGTTTCTTTGCTTTCTCCCTGCATCCTTCCATCATGCTATGGATTAGGCTTTCTGTTTCCTGGTGTGTGTTTCAGTCATACGTGACCAGCCTTGTAAGTAGCAGATTGATCATTGTCAAAAAGATGATCTCAATCATGAAAGAAGATCATGTTGTGCCAAGAGGATGGATGTTGTTCTTGTGGGTTGTTAAAATGCCAAATCAATCTGCTTGCATCCTTCACCTTTGATTATTGGCTTTTTTACATAAAAGAATAACATGGGTTTTTTTCTATGTTTACGTGGTATTTTTTTGGTTTGCTTAATAGGAAGTCCATGGCTCTGTCCAGCTCTGGAAGATACATAACTTTGTTAGCATGTATTTGGTACTTCATTTTTCATTGAATACCTGTTCTTGCCTTATTTTGTCAAGATAACTTGAAGTCCATGTTAAAGAATAGTTAATTTGAAAGGCAAGAAAAACCTGTAAATTCAACTACCCCAGATCTTTTCAGGAAAAGCTCCCTTGTGCCCATACAATTTTTGGCATCTTCGGAATTATTTGAAGTTTCAATTATATTACTTCATATGTAGACGATTCAAATTTTAGCTCCTGAATTTCTGTATTCACCGTGTTAACTTTTATCTTGATCAAAAGTCATCTGCCTCTCTTAAATGGTAGCAGGTGCATAGTGAAGGGTAGGTTGTCATTAAAGAAGCTTTTCATATCTGAATTAACTGTTTCACCAGACTTGCCCGATAGCTGTGTGCCAAAATCTGTCCTAGGCTTTGTTGGCTCCTGGGGATTAAGAGCAGCAAGATCTTTTTCAATTAATACAGTGTGAATGCTGAATGCTTTTTGACTCTCAAAACTCTTAACCAGGCTCAATAGAAAAAGGTTGTATGAAAGCAGGCTTGCGAGTTCAGATTTCAGACAGAGTGCTGCCTTGACAGTGCTAGCAAAGTGAATTTTTCTAGAAATTTTGTGTGGTATTTTCAGAACTGGTTCTGCCATCCAGTGTACAGTCAGGCTAGGGATCCTTCTGCACGAAACTGCTGGACTTTCCATTTCAGACTGGATGTTTTTAGGCAAGCATAGCTGAATATTTTCTATTTCTTTAAGGCCCTTTCTGGATGGAATAGTAAGAGATCTACCTGCAGATTATGAAGACGACTTAAAGGAGAGAGCACATCTGCAGCAGATCTCAAGAACTGGAAATTCTAGGTTTGGTATACAGTGTATTATTCTGATATTTGCACTACAAAATTATGGTGAAAGGAAAATGTTTATTTAAAATCCCTAGTAGGTTGTCTGAAATGACTGATGGTTTTTCCTGCGGCTAGGATATATTAGAACATATTTCCTTTGAGAACAGCTACTGAAGCTTGCATGCCAGTTTTCTTTTTGAAACAATAGATCACCTATTCTCCAGCTGAAGACTTTTAATGATTAGAATAACATGGTGTCCTTTTTTGATAGTAATTTTAAAATTCCTTTTTTTCCTCTTGTCTTGGTTTTGCAAGTCTTGAAGTCATTTAAGTGGATAAGGCAGAAGCAGAAGACTTGTAAAGCCCTTACATAAACTCTTGACTGGCACCACTCAGTCTGTCAACACTGTCGAAGTGCTCAGCTGAGTCACTGTTTCTGATGGCTTCAGAAACCGCAGGCAAATGAGAACTGTGAGAAATGCCTTTTTGCCAGGCGGTTTCTTCTTTTGCTTGTGATATTTCTTTGGATATTAGGAAAGCTGTTATAAATGTATCACAGAGTGATGTAAGTGCATCTATCATGTTTCACAGAGACTCGAGTTTGATCTTTCCATTTCCTTCTTTGTTCTTTGCCAGAAATCAGGTACAAATTAGTTCTTCAGCTAATGAACAGGCCAAGGCTGCAGCTGAAACGCCCTATGGGACAGGCCTTGTTCTTGGTATGTATAAAAACCTAACTAATGACACTGAATTAGCCTTTCTTTGCATATTTTATTTTTCTTTGGGAATAATTAAAAATTATTAAAAAAACTAATAGAACAGATGGCTGAGCAACAGCGAAATAAGAGACGGTAATAGAAAGTTACTGTATTTTTAAAAGATAATGGCTGAAATTTAAAGGAATTTCATTATTTCAATGTGTTAAGAAAAATTAGCTTTTTCTTTGTGCTAGTTGTCCCCAAGACTGGTAAATAAATATTATTTACATAGAGAAAATAAAAAAAGAAAAACATCTTCCTTTCTTCCTTAATGTAACAGGGCTTTCTAATCAATTTTGAAGAGCCCAAGTTTCTTCTTAGATTTCACAAACAGTTTAAGGCCCAGGTACATGCTTAAGTTTTTTACGAAATGAAGCATAGAAAAAGTATTAACCTCTGTATTGTTAAAGACACAACATGGTATTGAATTTTAATTACAGAAATATAGGAAATAGTACTGTTCACAACCTTGCGTAAGAACAAATTATTCTGATCATCTCTTACTGCTTAAATGTAGCATAAAATTTAGCAAGGAACATCATTATTGAGCATAGTCGAGAGAAATACTGTTGAAAACATAGCATTCCTAGCTAAATTCAGAAAATTACAAGGCAAGAACTGTAGTAGTTCTTCAGATGGAAGCCTTTGAAGGCAAGTTAGGTTTGAATTGTGGAAAAATTGACTAACAGTTGTCAGAATAAGTTCTATTTATTTTTACATTTGAATTTACCTGATCTTCAGTGCTATATGGGGCAGGTCAATTTCGTTGTTTAAAGACAACGTTAAAACAATGTGTTGTAATGGGCAGTCTCTCTGATCTGTTCAGTCATCTCCTCTGTAGTAACTTGAGTACACAAAGCTGTGATTTTGTATTCCTAGCAGTCATGGTCAGGAGAATATTGTCAACTATGTTGTATAAAGAATAAGTAAATTAAAACTTGAAATTTTTGGAAATGAGAAGTGGTTTCAGAGTCCCCAAAAATCACAAACCATAAGGTTATCTTGCACGTTTTGGTTACTTTACAGTCCCAGCACAATAATTGAATAAAAAATGCAGTCATGCATCATGGGTTTTTTTGTTTGTTGGGTTTTTTTGTTTGTTGGGGTTTTTTTTAGTTTCTTTGCAGCTTCCTTCACTTTATTGTTAGGTCTGCTTCACTGGAGATCTACAGTGACTTTGTGTATAGAAATATGTTAGGAGTCCTTGTGTCTTATAGTCATACTATATAGAAAATGGTGATGATGTTCTTTTGGTTTTGTTTTTAAAATAATAGACGATTCCACGCTTATTGTGGGGGAACCACCACAATTTGAAAGCTTTTTATGTTCCTTAAAATGCATGTGAGATGTTATCACTGTTTCCTTTTACAGACCATATCTACCAATACTTTGCTAATTCTTCGTACTCATGGCAGCCATCCTAAAAGTGGAGCAGTTTACTTTCCTTCCTGTGGGTTTGACTCTATTCAGTTTTAACTTTCATTTTTGTACAGAGCAGTGCGTCATAATTTTGGAGTGCCATACTGTATCTTCCTTAGTTGAATATTGCAGGGGGCGGAGATTAGTAACTTTTTTTAGATGCTGTTGTGTCATATAGCTTTGAAATTTGTAGCTTCCTGACTATACAAAAGCAGGCAAACTAGGAAAATAATAATGAAAATCTTAGTAGTTTTGATCATCACACTCCAAACAAACTGCATGTTAAAAATAGATTTAAAAAAAAATTTTAGTCAGTACAGATCCAGTGTTCTTGTGCATATTCCCAGATTGTATACTCTGCTGTGTTTCATGTTTTAGATTGTCTGAAATGTGATGTTTTTGTCCCATACTTTTTGTGTATTTTGTGGAGCATTTACGCAAATGTGTGGTTGTTTCCATTAGGTGGTCAGGACCGAGAACTTCTCCAAAGGAAAAAAGAGAAATACAGGCAAGAACTAATAGAACAGATGGCTGAGCAACAGCGAAATAAGAGACGGTAATAGAAAGTTACTGTATTTTTAAAAGATAATGGCTGAAATTTAAAGGAATTTCATTATTTCAATGTGTTAAGAATAATTTTCATAACTAAGGAATTCAAGCTAGCTAGGTAATATTGCATCCAATTAAACTTACTGACATGAGAGCTTTAGTTTTTAGTAAACAAATTCGCCAGCTTTCAGTGGAAGAAAAGAAAAAACAGACTTTTTTCATCTTTAAAAATTATTTTTTAGTTTTTTAAGGGTAAAGCAGCTCTAGCTGAAGTTTCCTTTTTTGCTGATAGAGGTGTGTCTAATTACTTTGCAAAGTTGAAAATGAATCTTGTTTTGTCCTCCAATTTAGGAGAGTAACCTTTCACTTTCAAAGCACTTGAGCATTTGGCTTATGCAGAATAATATATAAATTTCTTGCTTACCTATTAGTAGCTGCCTGCTGAATGACAATATGGGTGCATAAGACCACACAGTGATACTAGCGAAGGAATAAGGAATTAAAAATAAGTTACTATTGATGGTTTCACTGTGATGAAAAATTGTACATGCTGAATGAGCCTGAGCCCTGAAATTACAATATAGTACTTACTGCTGTACTTTTGAAAAGTCATTTCAGTATGTTTATAACAAACTTCTTGCTGTAACATGAATAAAGATAAATTTTTAAGAAATGTCCTGAAAGGTTGTAGTAAAAAGCAGTGTGGTGGTTTGTCCTTTTATGGTAGTTGGATTTTTATTAGGCAGAATAGATGATAGCCAGATACTTCTTGAGAGTTCTGTTTATTTACAAATAATATACAGTATCCTTCTTCCTTGACTCCATAAGAAATGAAGTGGAATCACGTCTTCTGTTATCCTGTATTTTCAGAGTTATTTAAATACAGAGTTGTGAGGTGACTATAGTTGTTACTGCTTTCTGATTTGATTTTTTTTTTTCTTTTCGTTCTTTTGAAACAAAAACAGTGAGAAGGAACTTGACCTCTCAGTTGCTGCTTCTGGAGCTCGAGACCCAGAAAAAAATGTAAGGAACTTGGATGTTCTTTTACCTATATAGACCCTTTTTTTTTTTTTTTTTTTTACATGTACACTGTGGTTGCTCAGTCACAAAACTCTATAGGGCTTTTATAGAATGATAAATGTTGTGTTTTTTTCTAATAGGGCATTAGCACAGAATAAAATTGAGGCCAAAGATGATAAGGCTGTAACTCATTACATGTGCTTTCAGCTTAAGAGGAAAATATTTTCACAGAATTTGTTGAACATTTTCTTTTGCTTTGACCAAATGGAAGCTTTGTACAAGCAGTGAGTGTCATGGAAAAAATACTTAATGTCCCGTGGTAGCCTGTACATGCACACATTAGTAACCTTTCTTTGGGAACATAAAGTATGCTGCAGAAAGTTTTTGCTCTTTTTCAATTAAAAAAAAGAAAATCCAGTTGTTTTGCAGGCAAGTTGATCTCACTGTAGCAATTTTTAATTTCAGATTTGTAATTCGTTTTTAAACTATCAGATATAGTGTTCAGGATCACAAGCATTTTTATAGGATTTTGTACAAAGCGAGATGTTTAATATTGTGTTGCTTTTAAGACTTAATGCAGAGTTACTACTGTCTCCACTTCCTTACTAAGGTGATTATTGTACTGAGAATTTTGATGCGAGCAGATACGAAGGTTGTCAGCACTAGTAGCGTTAGTAGCAGACTGAGTATCACAGAACTAACACAGATTTGCATGTGTGTTTGCTAAGTGCCCAAAGCCATTGCATCTTGGGTGCAGTAGAGATCTGCTGCTGGAGATGTAGGATGGGTAACTTTCTCAAGCAAGTAGAAACTGGTTATTAATTTAACTAGTTACCAGTTTGAATTATCAACAGTGCTGTTTTTTGGGGGAGACTACAACGCAGAAAGAAACTTGTGCCATTTCTGGAGAGTTCAGCAGAGGTGAAAGGAGCTCTTGTTTTCTAGCTCTAAGATGCTATTAGTCAGCATGAGGCAGCAGACTGAGAATGCACATAGATAGTCAATGAAGCTGAATCAAAATCCTTACTTCTACATAGAGAGGGAGAACACTGGCAAGTGGTCTGGCTGCATGTTCCTGCCCTCTCTGCTTAAATTATCTGTGGTGCTTGTTTGATCCCTTTTGCAAACAGATTAATATTTTTACCAGCTAACCAAGCTGAATCTTTTTTGCTGCTTTAGTTGGCTTAGAGAGGTCAGTTTGCTCATCAGGGATTCAGATGGTGAAAGGGAGAAGGATGGAGTCAGGAAAAGAGGAAAAACTGAGCAGAGGATGCAGGCTCTTTTGGCACAGCAGACTGTAAAGTCAGTGTAAACAGCTTTGTTTAATCAAAGATGACTAGGCAGAAGCATGCTGTGCTGAAGCAATCTATATACCGTACGCATTTCAGTCGGAGGCTGAAAAGTGCCTGTTGTAGGAACAAAATTATATCCAGAGCAAGTCCAGGGCATGTATAATGTTTTAAAACCATTAATTTAGCTGAAAGCCTTCAATTAAGGAGAATTGCTACATTCATTAAGCTGCAGTCACTGTTAGCTTTAAATTGCCTCTTGAGGAGGGATTCTAATTAGGTGGATTTCTCGATTAATTACAGATTGGTTAAATAGCAATGCCTGATTAAGAATCTAGAAATGTAGACTGTTGTATATACTGCTTGTTTAAAAGAAAACAATCCCCAGGATGAACTGAGTACCATAGTCACATCTGAAATCTGTTCACAGAGCTGAAATCTGGGGCACCTTGGGAACAGTTCAGATGAAGCTTGTTAGTGAGAGAGGCTGTTTTAAATGTTGAAATGTTCTCCTGCTCAAGACACTGGATTTGAAAAGACAAGTCTAAAAAAAAAAGTCTGTAGACTGCTTTATAATTTTCAATTGCTGTAGTTCATATCTATTACCTAATTTTGTATTCACATCTAGAAGATTGAACTTAAATGTTATAAACAGTCATGTCTAGTTTTTAATTTTTTTAATTTTGAGAATTTTAATCTTAGTGCTATAGTTCATGATTGGTGAGTACTAACTGCCTTGTATATACTATCTTGCAGCTAAGTGATGCAGAGGTAAAGATTTAATATTTCCCTGAAATACTTCCATATTGTAGGGTTGTTAGATATTTAATATTTAGCTGGTTGCTGGTCTTACTTTCTCTGAATGCATGTTAATTGAAGCACTACAAAGTTAGGACCAGTAAATTCAGATTTACTTATTATAATGTATGAATTTTATCTGGTCTTCTATTGTATTGACTAATTTAAACAAACATTAACATACTTACGCATAGCAGCCGGTATAAGGGCTTTCTGGGTGTGACAGGATAGTTCTGAAGCTGACTTGCATGCCTTTGCATTACTTGCATGTTGCCTTTGACTTTTCTGAGGCTGACAGTTATCAATAAACATTTGATACTTTAAAAAAATACCTCTACAAAATTTCGTAATTGTTGTGGTTGCAAAGCTAATAAAATCAAAGGAACCCAAAAAATGAAATAACAGTATTGCAAGGAAATGTTTATTGGAAGAAGTCTCAGTGTATGTTCATTTATACTGATTATGAGCCATTTTAGTTTTCGGGATGTGGTGGTGGTGTATTTTAAAAACTTTTCCTATGCATAATATGATAATACTGTCAGTATAAAAAAAACCTGGTGGCTGTAGATAATCTGTACTACAGACAACTGTGTAAATACTTCCCCCTGCCACCCCCCTGGATAATAACTGGAACCATATACTTCCTGAAACGTGCCATAGAGGCTGGATTTTGTAAACCTGTGATAAACACGCTGGATTTCCTTGTATTAGATTTACAGTAATTCCTTGGGAAAAAAAAATGCAATTTAAACAGCTAGCTGGGACCCGCTCAAGTGTTTAACACAGCCTAAACGGTGGTTCAGAATATTTCCTAGTAATAACAAAGTAACTGCTTTTTTTCCTCTCTTTTTCTATTCCCTCCCCTCAGCCAAATAGACTGAAGCAGTTTGGCTTGACAGCGAGAGCTTCTGAAGAGAAAGTACCTCCTGAAAGGCCTAGGGTGGCTTTCCAAACTCCGGTGCCTGTCTCTTCAGCCTCTCCAGTGAATGAAGACTTTCACAGGGGGCTAGCCAGCACTCTTGGTGAAATAGCAGCGCCCAGGTGCTCCACCATCATGTTCATTTTGCACGTTAAATAAGCTTGGTGCTAAGCATATTATTGCTATTTAGTGGCTGTTCATGTAGGATAAGAGTCGTGCTGTAGAAATTATGTCCATGGCTCTAACATTGAACTGTGTTGCGAGGATGCATGGGCGTGTGCTTGAGGCACGCGCCTGGCATCATCCATATTGTTAGGAGGCTGGTATGACATGAGATTGGCCCCTTTCTGTTAGGCTATCTCCCAGGGCTAAGCTCAGGAACACAGTGTGGGCAAGGACAGCTTCCACTAGGCACTGTGGTTGAGACTAAATTGTTTTGGGAGAGAGAAGGAGCTTTAGGCATGTGGCTAAAGCTGTGCTGTGCCACTTGCCCTTTGGCCGGAGACTAATCCTTGGCTTGTTTTATTTACTGTTACTGATCTAACCAGCAAGTATCATTAACTCAACGAGTTAAAGGCGGTGTGCTTGATTTATGTTCTTTAGATTTCTGGAATAGCATGGGTTCATGTACTACTCCCTAAGGGAAGGTTAATTTCCTAGTGAGGCTTATTGTGTCTTGCTCCTGCATGGCACTAATGAGAGGTCTTGGGCTGAGATAAACCTAGAATTTTCCTCTAGTGAATTCTCTCTTCCTCATTTATTTTTCTTTCTGTCTTCTTTTGATCATCTCTCTTTTCAGTTGTACAATAAAACAAAAAACTGTGTTCCTTTTTTCTTTAAGGCTTGCACCGATGCCACCGCCTCCACCTCCAGTTTTGACAGACAACTATAGAACACCTTATGATGATGCGTATTACTTTTATGGGGTTAGGAATCCTTTGGATCCCAATCTTGCATATTGTAAGTTGATGATTTTAGGTGGATTGGTTGTTAGAGTGATTCAGATGGCTGCTTTTAATCCGGTTAAATGATGAATAATGTGGAACTAGTAACAGCACTTTAAACCCATTTCTTAGGTGTGTATTGAATGAAAAGTATGCTTTTTTTCAGTACTGGTTTTCAATGAAGTAGTTTTCTCCAACTGCAAAAGGGCCTTACTTTTTCTTTGTAATCTTATTTTCAGACCATAGTTTTAAGGGTTTTGGGTTTTTTTTAAGGGTTTTTGGTGAGGGTTTTTTTGTGTGTGTGTTTTTATTTTGGTATTTTGTTGTTTGTTTGTTTGCTTTTATCCTTGTACCAATATAACCTCTATGGTAAAATGGCTTACAGTTTAGAGTATTAAAGAAATTAATACTTAAAATTTATATACAAGTGTTAGGTTATCTTAAAGCTTGTTGTCACAAACTGGAATATTGCTAGTGCTTGAAATTTGAAAGTATGAAATTGTTTGAGAGATGCGTCTCTTACTGTCTTGAACACAAGCAGTAGTATGCACAGTAATTTCAAGCCCTGCTTGTGTCAGAGCCCTAAAGGTCCTATTTCAGTAAGCCTACAGGTGCCAAATGTACTGCATTTCTGCAGGAGGCAAGGGGGCTTTCCTCACAACAGAGGGCACATTTGGAAAGCGTGAGAACAAGTGTTACATTAAGCAAGTTACTTCTTTTTTGTTATTTCATTGTAGAATATGTTAATGAAGACATTTGTACATTTTCAAGGGATTTAGTTGAATTTAAGAAATGGGTTTGTACCTTGGCATTGTATTTCTTGCATTAGAGCGCATTAAGGTTTAGCTAAGTTTGTTACAGAATTTGAGAATCCTATTCGTAATTCTGCAGTCACAGAGTTTGAGCAGTGAGCTCTGGTCTTTTAAGGGATGGCAAATGTTTGTATGTGAGCATTCAAAATTTAAAATAGTAATTTTTTTACTGTGTGGATGGTTCAGGTATGATGGGAATGCAACCCACACCTAATCTGGATCCTCCTTTAGGCCAAGCCCCAGTAGAACAATCTGTGTAAGTATTATCTGTATTCACACTCTCTGTATTTATCTGTATTGATACGCTTCTCATGTTGGGAGTATTTTGCTGACAATGGATATGCTTTTGAAATAAAAGTGTGTTAAAGACAACTCTTCAAACTTCTAATTAAGAATTTCTATCTAAGCAATAATTCAGTGAACTTCTATTTTTATATGGATTTATGAAAATGTTTGACATTAGAAACTGCTGGGCTGTGGAAAACAACAGGTCTTAAATATTTCAGGCAGGGTTTTATTAAAAAAAATGTTTTTACCCCTCCCCCCTTGTCCCTGTGATATTTTATTTTTATACGTGTGGTTTTCTAATTCAGAAGTAACACTGGACAGAGGAATACAGGAGACAGACAAAGAAGCATAGGAGTATTTTCTGAAGAAAAAACAAAGCCTTCCAAAGAGGCAACGTTATCTTATCAACAAGAATTACAACAGCAGGTACTGAGTGATAAAACTTCTGACACTTTCTTTTACTTTTTAACATATAATGGCTGTAACTGTAGTACTCTTTCAAACATACTTATTTAGTTTACAAGTAAAAAGCTTTCTTAACTCTCCCTCCCTTCACCACTTCCTTCCTTCCATTCCTCTGACCCTGCTTTAGGTCATTTTAGCCCTTCAGGTAGACAGTAAGCTCTTCAGATTTTTTTTTTTTTTTTGTCAAAGGCAGAGAGAATATTAAGACTGACAGCAAACAGATTAGTTCCAGGCGTGGAGTTTCATATAATTATTTTCATAAGAACCTGAATCTTAAAAGCGATGAGTTCTATTGTTCTGATATTCCTATTGAAAGATTGCTTTTGAACATTATTTCTATAATTATTAGGAGCACTCTAATTTCAGTAAGTTCTTCATGATCATTTGGACACTAATTCAAAAACTTCCCTAATGTTTACTTCCAGTGTGTTTTGTAGGTAGTGTCTTGTCTCTTTTCAGCTCCCTTTTTGATAGCCTAGACTTATTGAGTCTCCTGTCTTCCAGTAAACATCCTAGTCCCCTAGTCATTTTAGTGGTGCACCTTGTGGGAGTATATTTATAAAATATATTTGACCATGATGAGATGTGTTATTTCAGAAGAGATTTTGTTGGAACTCAGTTCAGTGGCAGTAATGTTTTTTTATCTTATTCCTCTTTATGTATTTCTTAAGTGGAGGTAAATAACTAATGTAAAAATATTCTAGTTCTAATTATGATTGTACGTAAAGGAGAAGCTGCCAATCAAGGTCAAATTGTTCCTAAATGTTTATTTTATTCTTAGTGTATGATACTGCATTTACGCCTCTCTGAAGGCATTTCCTCACTATAGTCTTAAGAAGTAAATTTTACCTTGCTACGTGAGAGACTGCACAATTTGACCTAAAGGTCTGATAAACGTGGCACAATACAGTCTTTCGAAGTTATTATGCTGCTTATGGTTGAAAGCAAACGGAAGGTATTCTGCCTTTTTTTTTCTCCCTATAGACAAACCTGACTGACCATTTTTGTAAACTGTTGACAGGGCTAGATGGGTCTTTGTGTTGTCTCTCATCTCTTACAAAATTGTCTGACTATTTGATAAAGGGGAATGTTTATCTAATGCACAGAAGAAACAACTTAAGAAAAATACATTAATATATTTCAGCTACATGATTTAAAATCTTTGAATTGAAGATGGACCTTTTTTTAATAGCTGTTCTTATTATAAATGCTGCATTAAGTTATTAGGAGGCTTAGTTATATAAATTTAACTGGATTTTGAAGAAAAGGAAGAACAAACCATATGAACAGTTCTGTGTTCTTTGTGTACATCATCATGTATTGCTGCAGAAAACTATTTCATGAGCGGTTATAGAATGGTGTAGCATTCTATTAAGGCATTTATTGTTAGGAGTCTTTCTTTATCTCATGTCATCTCTAGTCTAAGTTTTGGTTAAACAAAATATACCAGGTTGAGAGAAAGAAGTGCTGTAGTATTGTAGAATTTTGCTTGTTTAATTTTCAGGTGGTATAAACTTCTGTATCAAAGGTCCAAAGATATAGGACTTCGGATCAACTGCAAGTGTCATCTGTGAACATTTCTGGAGCTTGGAAGTTGTTATAATGTGTACCTGTATGTTTCTCTGGGATTATGCACAACTGTATGTGCACATTTTGACAGCAGTATTCAATGCACTGTCTGCAGTATAGGCAGTGAAATGTTTGCAGTTTGCTTGATATAGATGGAGCAAATGGCTAATGGTAGCGTTCAGCTTTGCTCCATTAACTACTTATTAAAATTATACTTAATGTGGTGTTTTTATGCAACTGACCTGGGTTTGTTTGGTTTTAGATAAGAGAGAGAGAGGAACGACGCAGACAAGAGAGAGAGGAGAAGGAACGCTATGAAGCCAAGTTAGAAGCAGAAATGAGGAATTATAATCCCTGGGGAAAAGGTGGTGGTGGTGCTCCTCTCAGAGATGCAAAAGGAAATCTGATAAGTATGTTTGCCAAAATTAGGAGTTGTCTTTCTAAGATCAATGTTTTCTTGCCCTTAGAAAAGGCTCTATTCACATATGTTAATCCTTGTTATTCAGATATGTTAAAGCTACACTGGTAGCTCCTTATTGACAAATAGAAGTATTTGTTTCAAGCAGATGCACTCCAAGAATATTTCAGTGAGTAATTATTTTGATTCAGTAGAATCATTTAAACAGTACAAGTTGAACAAAATGGAAGACACAGGATATGTCAACTATAAATGAATTCAAAATGCAATAGTAAAGGGAGAAGGAGGAAAACAAGCTGTTAGAATCAGTTGCAATACAAATATGCTAAAGTCTGTTGTGAAGACTTTTATTTAAACATGTTCTGGGAACAGGGTGTTTTGTTTTTCGTTTTTTACAATCACTTCTAGGCTTACAAAACTCCACTTCTGACATGGAAAATGGAAGCATGTTTGGATAAATATATAAAGCTAAGTGAAATATTTAAATTCCCCCAAGTAACACTGCTGGTAAATAGCTGTATAAATAGCAGTGAGACAACAGTAGTCCTTTATAAGATTTATTTTTTTCCAAGTGCTGTAAAACAGCAAGATGGGATTGTAGTGAGCTATGTATGTGGCTATCTCCCCCTCCAGTAAATCTGAGACAGATGTAAGACTAAAACTC